ACTTTCGTTTTTTCATTCTTTCCTATTTTTTTATTTCTCATAATAATTCTTTTCATTCAATTTTCCTTAATTTGTATCTTCATCTTTTCATTCATATTTACTTATTTTTTTTTATTTTTTGCTTTCTTTTTTATGTTTTTCTTTACTTAAACTTCTTTCTTACTTTTTTATCCTTATTTGCTTCATTGACTCTTTCCTTCTTTTCTCTTAAATCTTTCTTTCTTCATTGTTTCCTCCTACTTATTTCTTTCATTCTTTCTTTCTTGTATACCTGTCTTCATATACACTTTCTTTTCACTTTCTTTCTTTCGTCCTCTTCTTCGGTTTTTCAAACTCTCCTTCTAACGTCTTTCTTACTCTCCCACTTTTGTCCTCCATAACTCTTTCTCTACTTCGACATTCCATACTTTCTTTCTTTCTTTCTTTCTTTCTTTCTTTTTTTTTCTCTTCTAGTTCTTTCTTTCATTCCTTCTGTCTTTCTTCCCTCATTGCTCTCTCTCCCTCTCTCTCTCTGTTTTTTATATCTCGCTATTTCTCTGCATTCACCCGCTTCATATTATTTTTTTCGCACTCCATTTTCCTTTTCTTTCTTAATCTCCCACTTTTGTTACACATACCTCCTTCTCTACTTCGACATGCCATACTTTCTTTCTTTCTTTCTTTTTTCTTTCTCTCTCTCTCTCTTCTAGATTTTTCTTTCATTCCTTCTGCCTTTCTTCCTCCATTTCTCTCTCTCTCTCTCTGTTTTTTATATCTCGCTATTTCTCTGCATTCACCCGCTTCATATTATTTTTTTTTCACCTCCATTTTCCTTTTCTTTCTTAATCTCCCACTTTTGTTACACATACCTCCTTCTCTACTTCGACATGCCATATTTTCTTTCTTTATTTCTTTCTTTCTTTCTCTCTCTCTCTCTTCTAGATTTTTCTTTCATTCCTTCTGCCTTTCTTCCTCCATTTCTCTCTCTCTCTCTGTTCTTTATATCTCGCTATTTCTCTGCATTCACCCGCTTCATATTATTTTTTCGCACTCCATTTTCCTTTTCTTTCTTAATCTCCCACTTTTGTTACACATACCTCCTTCTCTACTTCGACATGCCATACTTTCTTTCTTTCTTTCTTTCTTTCTTTTTTCTTTCTCTCTTTCTCTCTTCTAGTTCTTTCTTTCATTCCTTCTGCCTTTCTTCCTCCATTTCTCTCTCTCTCTCTCTGTTTTTTATATCTCGCTATTTCTCTGCATTCACCCTCTTCATATTATTTTTTTGCACTCCATTTTCATTTTAAAAACCTCGACGCAATCTATTCCTCTCAAATTCGAGGATTCCCTTTCTTATCCTAATAGCCCCAATCGCAATTTCTGAATTTTAAGCATTCTTTCATTTTTTTTTTTTATTTTGTAAAACCAATCTTATACTTCTGCCACGATTTTTTAGGTTGCTATTTCATTTTCCTCCCAAGAATTTTATCCACAAAATTTTTCGAAGAAAAGATTAGGGAATAATAATAATAATAATAATAATAATAATAATAATAATAAAGTAATAAGAACAACAAAAAACCTGACAAATAACAAAAGATAAAAAATTCGTCAGAATAGGCGCTACCCATCTTCTCTTGTCTCTCCATGACGCCTCAATTTGCGTTGCATATTTCCGATGTCATTCCCGCGTAGAAGGGCGGGACGAAGAGGAGCATGTGCGGAAACTAGAGGCACAGGGTAGAGGAGATGGTTATTGATAGTGGGGCGTTGATTTGTTTAAGCAAGATTTCTATAACATTAAGCATTTTTTTTTCTTCTTCTTTCCGCTGATGTTGTTGAATCAACTGAATCTCATGTTATCTGTCGCCAATGTTTGTTTTTTGTAGGTTCATCTTTCCTGCCAAACAAGAGCAACACGAGGAACATTATCTTTAATAATAATAATAATAATAATAAAGAGAAGAATAAGAGGAAGAAGAAAAGAAGAAGAAGAAAACGAAAAAGAAGAAGAAGGAAATGAAGATGAAAAAGAAGAAGAAGCAAAAGAATAATAAGAGGAGGAGGAGGAGGAGGCGGAGGAGGAGGAAGAAGAAAAAAGAAGAAGAAAAACGAAAAAGAAGAAAAAAGATGATGAAAAAGAAGGGGGAGAAGAAGCAAAAGAAGAAGAAGATGAGGAGGAACAAGAAAAAGAAAAGAGCAAGAAGAAGAAGAAGAAGCAAAAGAAGAAGAAGAAAAAAGAGCAGGAAGAAGAGGAAGAAGAAAAGGAAGAAAAAGAAAAATGCAGGAAAAAGAAGAAGATGAAGAAGAAGAAGAAAAAGAAGCAAAAGAAGAATAAGATGAGGAAGAAGAAAAAAGAGCAGGAAGAAGAGGAAGAAGAAAAGGAAAGAAGAAGAAGAAGAAGAAGAAGAAGCAAAAAGAAGAAGAAGAAGAAGAAGAAGAAGAAGAAGAAGAAAGCGCAGGAAGAAGAGGAAAGAGAAAAGGAAGAAAAAGAAAAGAGCAGGAAAAAGAAGAAGATGAAGAAAACCAAAAAGAAAAAGAAATGAAGATGAAAAAGAAGAGGAAGAGAAAGCAAAAGAAGAAGAAGACGAAGAAAATAAAGATGAAGAAGAGGAAGAAAATGAAGAGGAAAAAGAAGAAGAAAAAGAAAAAACAATAGGATGAACACAACAACGACAACAAAAAGAACAAGAAAGTCGAACGTAGTTGAAATCATCAAGTCAATGCGAATGATCCTTTCCTTAGTTACATAGTATGCCCTGTGCCAGGGCTACATACAGTTTTGAATTCAGTTTTCCTTCTCCTAGACCGGTTGTCACCCATAGTTTGGGGATGAAGAGTTTGATTCATCCCTTCTCCAAGTTTATTAGCACGTATGAAATCTCACAGATACTTTTTGGAGGAACCCGTTCTTGATTGACCCTGTCTTCAAAGGTGTAGCCCTATCTTACCCATAGTTGGGGGATCCCCAATTGCCATTCTTCTATAGCCCAGTTTCCATCCATGTCTCTACGGCGCAATTTCTTCTACTATTTATTCATAGCAGATTCATAGCTGAAGGGAAAAGAAACGGATTTCTTACCATTCCCAAGAGTATTTGCACATAAATGAATGTAACGACCTCGACTGGAATTCGAACTCCGATTCCTCAATAGGAACCTCCATTAGACTTAATTAGTAGGACCATTTAATTACTAGGCCGATTTAACGAATCCCATTAAGGGATTTTAGCGAAATCCCTCAGTGGCGATTGCTAAGAGATGGTAAAGAAGGAGGAGTAACGAACACAAGAAGCAACAATCTATTCGTTCGACCCAATAACGACAATCGACAGAGGACGTAAGATATTATACTATCTTAAAGGTTCAAGAAATTAGAAAATTGCAATAGGTTGGCGTTTGCAACCTAGGGCAGAATTTCCCATCTAAGGTTTGGTAAATTTTCCCAGTTAGAAAAAAAACACCGTATAGGTAGAACTAGTGACTCCAATGAAAAAAAGCACACAGAAAAAAAAACTGCAGCAAAAAGGATGCTTTTAATAAGGCCCTTCCTTGCCTTTAAAGGAGTGCCCTTTGCCGTGCTGATGATGCTATATGCCTTACTTCTTGCCTATCTCACACTGCGAATTTTTTCTAAGCTCTATACTAAACATTAATTCTGTTACGAAAAAAGAACTAAACAAAATGAACACAAAACGTTCAACTTTAAATAAGGACTCGTAACTGGAAAAACCGAATGAAAAAAGAATGTTAACAACAAATACTTTTTCACACCCAACCCAGTTCTGCGGAATCAGCATCAACGTTGAGTTTAAGCAAGCGAATGAGCCAATTGGAGTAAAGTGCCATGCAGATTTAAATTTTCCCACTTGTGACGAATGCAGCTATTTTTTTTTTTTTTTTTGCATGCTAGCATGCTAGTTAACATTTGTGTCAGTCAGCTGTTGGCTCTCACGCTGGCCAATAGAATCTTCCTGCCTTTCGTGGCAGCCAGCTATTGGCTCTCACTCTGGCCAGTAGGAAATGGCCGCAAACTACATGAAAACTGCCGTAGAAGCATGAAAATATCGATTATTTCCACTATCGATGGGAGTTGGGAAATGCAAAGTCGGCCTTGGCCTTCCCTCTAACTTGGAGCATGTGCATGGAAATTTTGGTGCGAATCCGTTGAAAATTGCGGCCATGCATTCGTTACACACACACATCCTGCCTTTTATAGATAGAGATTAAATTTTGATTACAAATCAAAATTATATGAAAATGCAAAAAAAAAAAAAAATGACTTGCATTGATTGAATTAATTTGTTAATCATGTTTTAAAGGTGGAAAATCTTTGGATGCCCGTCAACTGCGTCGATAGTTTCGAACTTCTAAAGCGTTCTTCAGGTCGCATCTTCATGAATTCGTGTGGCATCAGCGGTCCAAGAAGAGTCTCGTGTTTTTCTGCGTAGTCCACTTTTACCCGATGTAATAATATTTTATTGCAATAAACGTAAACACCGTTCAAGTGGTAATATTTTATTTTAAACCGATTTTAGTGAAAGAATACAAAAAAAAAAGAAAATTCAAGGAAGAATTGGAACTATGTAGACGACAGAATTACTAGAATCGGCAAGAATACTAAGAATAAATGCCTTTAAGGAGCCTTGATTGATTCGTTTTTTATGACTTATCAACCCTTGCATGTTATTTAAAACCAGAAAATATTTTGACATTTTATTTTATTTTTTTTTTTAGATAATATTGATTTAACGATACAGGTCTTAATAAATAATCCATGGATGATGGCGAAAGGTGGATTCATACTTTTCCCTGGGGTAGTTGCGCGTAAATGAATGTAATGAACCTAACCGGAATAGGAACTCAGCACTCAGAAAACAATTCCGAGCCATTAACCATTAAACCACCCGGACATTCAAGCTTACAGAACCTGGTATTCTCAGGCGGTCGCCCATCCAGGTAAAGACCAGACTCAACGTTGCTTAATTTCGATGATCTTACGGGAACCGGTGTTTCAAGTTGATATAGAAGTAATCCCAAGGAAAATTGCTGTCACTACATGCTGAGCAATGGCTAAATATAAAAACACTCAACAAGGGCAAAATAAAGCATTGCACAAGTTCATTTAAGGCTGAGATAACGATAAATATTTAGATAGATCAGGAACAATATTTAAACCCGATAACATCTCAAGGGACGAGATGCCTTGCAAGAAAACTTCTTTTTTTTTACTATATATAATAAAAAGGCTTAAACACTAATATTCCATGCTCATAATTTATTCCATGGTCATAATTTATTCCATTGGAATCGTAAATACGATCCAATTCATCAGACCTACAAATTCCAAAAGAAAACAGAAAAAACAACTCCGGAAATAAAAATAGAATTTAGAGAGAGTGTATATATGAGATTGTGGGAAGAATTTTAGAACTAAAGAGAGGGGTAACAGACGAGAGAAGGTGGGAGATTAAACCTTAACAGAGTGAAGTTTTAGAGAGGTGAGTTGAAGAGGTTTAAGTGAGAGAAACATGAATGTTATCGGATGTCTAATACATTAAAGATATATTTCGTGGTGACATACACACACCATAGACGATCTAATGTTAAAGATCAGAATAAGAAGGAGGGAGTGGAAAAGAAAAGAATAAGGGGTGGGGGAGAGAGATGGGACGGGGAAAACTAAAACTGAAGGGCATTTACTGAAAGGGCCGCTGTGTAATTAAGACAATTTGACAAAATTAATATCGACTACAGGTTACAAATCAAATGTAAACATATATATATATATATATATATATATATATATATATATATATATATAGTGAAGTAATACATAGCGGCTCGAATTGAGGAATTCCAGCCGAATCCATTACATTCACTTACGTGGCAATACCCTTGGGAAAGGCATGAATCCTCTTCTTCTCTCCCACTCCTAAGCTATGCGTAAATATTAGGACAGCCCAACTTCTATAACCTTGGATGGCAACTGGTCTATTGCAGAAAGAAATGGCAACCTATTGTGCGAAAAATCTGCCATGTCAGTTATGTATGGACAGATACATGATCGCCTAAGCGTATACCACGCATGGAACATAACAGAATGACTGAATCTTTTATAAGGATTTATATCTTTACGCGTATCGAGATTCATATATTTGTGTGATGGCTTGTGTATATTTACACTGTTATGTGCACTTATATACACATGCACATATATATATATATATATATATATATATATATATATATATATATATATATATATGTATGTATGTATGTATATATATATACGCTTTTTTCTCTGTTTTCTTTAATTATTTATTTTCTGTACTGCACTTTTTTTAACAATAAATTTCCAAATTTTTATCCAAAAATGTTTATCCATTTTATTTTTTATTTTTTCTTTCATTTTTATCTTTTCACTCCATTTTATTTAATAATATTTTATTACTATATATAACATTTTTTATCACATGTTATTCTAACCACAGCTTGTCTTGGTCGGACAATTTTTGGCCGCAACTGACTACACACGAGACGTCTTTCACCCTCTCCATCCTATAACTTTCTTCATTTAAATTTACAATCTTACTCCCCCACTCGTTCTACTAATAATAATAGACCTGCCTAACGATTTTACCCTGAACAAAATTTTAAATTAAATTTGATTTTCATCAAATGTTTCACACAGCGAGGAATCAGAGATCACTTTTTTTTTTGCTAATAATATGATTTCCACTAGAACATACACTGTCTACAAAAACATTTTTCGTTGAATAATTCCCATTTCTCATTTTATTTCTCGATAGGTTGATGAAGGACACAGGCGTTTCCGAAAATTCCGAATTTTCCGTGATTCATTTCTGTTATATTGTTAATAATTAATATTTACTAAATGTTTATCGTACTGATTATATTGATACCCTTTCGTATGTCCTAGTTTTATTAATTAACCTATGTATTTTATATATTATAAGAAGCGCATGTGAACAATTTCTTCTAATAATAATAATATATATATAAAAAAGAAACATTTTAATTTATTTATTTGTAACAAACAGTTATTTCTGATGAAAATTGAGGACAATTTGAAATATCAAATATATATATAAATAAATAAATACTTTCATAAAATAAAACATTATAATTTTAATTTGAAACTTTTTATATATATATATATATATATATATATATATAATTTAAACGAATTAATCTTTATGAACCCCCAAAATAACACTTTCAAAGTAAAGTAAAATAACAGCGACTGTTTCTAATTTTTTTACAATGAAAATTAGTGACCTCTTCTCTTCTCTCTTAACTTCCATCTCTCTTTTTTTCTCTATGAGTTTTTTCTTCGCTACCCCTTTCGATTTCAATATATAACTTCCGTTAAGTTAACCGTTTAAATGTGCCAATATCTGCTCACTCACTCATGTCTTCTCTCTCACTTCCTCACTTCGTTAATTTGCATATGCATATAATACGGCCCGTCAAAAATGTGTAAATTTTTTTTTTGTTTGGAAGTAAAGTCTGATGATCCGCATCCTTTTAAAAAAGCTGTGGTGAAATAATTTATTATATGGAACCTTAAAGTGGTCTGTTTTTATTTAAATTATTTGCTCTGGATTTACATTGAGCTCTCTGGATTATATCTTCCTTAGGTTTACCCATACGGATTACCTAGTTTTTTCATAAACTATATATATATATATATATATATATATATATATTATTTATTTAAAAAGGATAACATAATTATGTTATAAAATCACTACAAATATAGACATTCAGTTTCAACACTTCCGGTGTCGTATCAAGTGATGATGTTGAATGTAGAATAAAGAGTTTTAAAAGGTTCAAATTAATTAACGACCCCTCACAAGGGGAAACGCTGTTACATAAGCTGGAATGACCAATCAAAATACAAGTATACGAGAATTCAAAAAACTTGAACGAAGTAAGGTTATAATAGCTATTAAGTGCTTTGAATTTGGGGTTATAATAAAATAGAATTTATTCTAACTAATAAGTATTAAATTATATGATAAAATTTGAAATTAAAATTAAAAAATAAAAACTACCCATTTTAAAATAAAAATTTAATCTCCATTAGAGATTAAATTTCGATTTTAGATTATAAAATTACCGAGGAAAAAAATACATATGTTATTCTATTTATTTTGTTTTGAAATTACGTTGGAATAGACGTTAAGATCGACTGTTCTTATCTCCATGACAACATGGATGCATTTGAATTCCAAGTGTAGGGATCTTGCGAAAGAGAATACATACATACTCAGATTATAATACATAAGCTCCCAGACATATTTAGATATATAGACACACAAAAAAAAGAGAAAAAGGTGACGGGACAGGAAAACATCCCCACAACCCTTTACAAAAAAAAACAAATAAAGAAAAACAGAACACACACATAAATACACAATTAAATGTGCATGCAAGTTACTATACACATTGACATCGATAAAGACATGTACATACACCCATTACATTGACCTAGACAGTCCGATACAACAACCAAGAAATATTCAAGATTGAAAGCGATATATATATATATATATATATATATATATATATATATATATATATATATATATATATACAGAGTGTATCAAAAATACTTTTAAAATGTAACCTAGTCTACATGGCAACACAGCGCCATCTACTGTAAACTTTCTCTAAATATAATAACAATTTCAAAAAGCAATTTGCAGACATGTTTATATGAACTTTAGTCCTTGTTTTTAGTGTGATGAACCCGCCTCCAAAATTTGTAATAGTATTTTATACACCCAATATATATATATATATATATATATATATATATATATATATATATATATATATATATATATATATATATAGTCATTCACATATATATTGTCATCCATATATATATATATATTGTACTTTTAGAATAACACGAACGAAAAAGGAGCTGATTCCGAAATGATGATGCAGGATTCCATTCATGAAAAAATATTTTCCCTGCTAATTAAATTCATTAGATTTTTCAATCTCATCGGAATTAAAAAAAAAAGGTTCTGAAAGCTGCTTCATGAATTTGAAGCGCTGATTTAAAACCACAATTAAAATTGAACACTGCTAATTACAGCTCTCATTAAAGATTCAATAAACTACGCTTTGGCGAATTCAAGTTATGTGAATATTTCTACGTTATTACGACCTTAGAAGAAACAGAAATGTGTTTACGCGTAATGTTAACGCGTGTATAATTCCGGTTTTAACAGCTAAATCCCACTCCCCTGTATATTTGTTCTTAAGACATTGCTGCAAATCTTCATTGGGCTAAATTTTGTATAACGTTAGGGAAATCGTAGAAGTATGTTTGAATCTTCTCTAGTACTTTCTCGGTTAAAATTAGCACGCCGTTTGCAAGATTTTAATAATAACCAGAAGCTTAAAAATGGGTTGCACATAGACTTAGGGAAAGAACTTTCAAATTTTCAAATCTTTTATTTAAACTTTAATTAAACTGAAACGTGTGGTCATCAACCATTTTGAAATGAAGCCATGATAATTGACTGGAAACATCACGTGAAAATAAGCTGATGGTAGAATCAGCTTACACTAACAATCTACTCAGTAGACTTAGCATAATAGTATAATCACGAAACCTCTGATTAAAAAAAAAACTAAAATTATTTCAGTGTTCTGGATCATGTGGTGGAATGTATAAATCTGGAAGTCCATATGGTTCCACCACTTGAGTTAAGAGAAACATTATTTAACTCTTGTTAGACTGAAACGAGTGGTCGTCACGCCGTGTGAAATTAAGTCACAATAATATAATAAACACATCACATAAAAAATAAGCCGATTGATAGAATTAGCTTAAACGTTGCACTCTGATAATTTTCTTAGTAGATCTAGGAAAATGTATTGAATTTTTATATATATCAGACCTCTTCTATGTCTGTGAACGCTGGAGAAACTCATCGATGATGAAGAGACTTGAAGCAACAGAAACTTGGTACTAC